AATCAGGACCAGGCACAAGAAGAGACTCACCGGGCGAGGCCTGGGGGCATCCTGACTGTGGAGCCTCAGTGCACTTTCCTCCTGGAATCAGGATGCACCACCCTCCCCGGCACTAATGCCGTCACTGACCGGAATCTCACTGGAGCCTCGGTGTCTCGAGTTTCATTGAAGTTTCATTATGTAGGTGTGGTTGAACTCAACTTCCACTCCCCTGCCCCCAACCCCAGAGGTCAGCTGGCTCAAAGCCCCTATCTTCCAATCTTCCAATCGCACCGTCCTTGGGCAGCCCACATCCTGGGTCAAACGGTCAGCATGAACTCAGGTGTGGCCAGGGACCCACCACGAATAACAAAGAATCACTCAGGAAATCCCTCGGATTTAGTGTTTACCTCTGAAGAGGAACCAGGGACAGGGAGCAGACAAGTTCCTCACCGTAGAACACAGGGCATCAGGGCCGACGCCCTGACTACCCCAGCCAGTCTTCCCAGACTCGCCCCATCCTCCTCCCCCTCCTCCCTACCCCCACTGAGCGTCCTCGAACGACCCTGCCATCCCGCACCAGCTCTTTCCTCTGTCTACATTGGTTTTCTTCTTGGCCTGTCCGGTGAATCCCTCCTCGTTGGTCCAGACACAGGTGAGCAGCTCCGCCTCTGCGGCGCCCTCCCAGGCCCTGAACACCCACCTCCCCGGGGCTGGGCGTGCGCTTTGTTCATTTACAGATGGTCTCTGCACCGACGTCTTCGGGTCACAGTTCTTTGCTGCGTTTTCTGCATGTGCTGTTGGCACGCGGTGGAGTGACTTTCTTTACTGAATAGGTGTTTTGTGGAGCTTCGTCTTTATTATTTGAAGTTACACTTGTTTTTTTTTTAAGAAAGTGTCCCTTTACCCTCCTTGGCTGCCCTTTTCAGCACCTCATGCCTCACACTAGGGCAGAGTGGCAGCTCATCATTAGAAACCTCTCGGCTACTGGCGGATGAGCGAAACGCCCATTGAAGACCTTGTGGCTGGCGGACCCGCCTGGCCATTCCCATTTGGAGAACTCATGGATAACACTGATGAGATGACGCAAGGAAGGTTTGCTAAATACCTAGAAATAAAGGATGGTTAAGAATATCATGATCCCAGCCGTCAGATGAAGTGTTATACATCCAACATGTTTATGAAATCTGTACTAAAACCGAGAGATGCTTATGTATTATTATATTAGGAAGAAAGAGTCATAACTATGATGAAAAAAGGTACTCATAAACTAAGACACCTGAAAAGCATAAAAGAAAGAAAGAAAAGGCCTGCATGGAGACACTCAAAATAGTATTTGTCTATGTGTGATGGGAATTGGGTGATCATTGCCCATCTTTATATACTTTCCTGTGTTTAGAGCTTTTTCTGTATCAAGCATGTATTGCATGCCTAAAATGAAAGGAGAGGATAGTTCCTGTGTTCGTAAATAGGCAGGCACAGGTAAAATCAATTTATCTTAGATACTTGCACCTGCAACTGGAAATTTACAGGTGAAAAAAATTCACACTTTTGCTTTTTTTGGCTATGAGAGGAGGCAGTGAAAAGAGAGGTGCAGATGGGAATGAAGGGGGAGGAAACGAACCAGCCACTCCTGCCCCACACTTACAAGACATGTGACCACAGCCAGGAGAATTGCCAGAAAGACAAAAGTCAACCAGACAAAGGAGTTTTCACATGGAGACTGAGATCAAATCAGTTCTCAAAATGTCACTTTCCTAGTCAGAGAAAGGCACTGTGGATAGTGGGGATTTAATGATTTGCTTAATAAAAAATTATAAAAATAGAAAAGATTTACATTGTTTCATTGGTCTCTTTTATTAGCAACATAACAGAAAGCATGTATCCCTTTCTGGAAGAGGTCTAATCACAACAAAAGCTGAGAATACTTTCAGGGCTTTTGGGGAAGAAGTGTTAATCTAAGGGTAAGCTTAAGAAAATTCACTTAACCTTTTAAAACTCTGGTTAAAATTGCTTTTATCCAAGGCTCTTAAAAATGCCCTCAGCTGACCACACAACCCTCCTTAGAGGAGAGTACACCCAAGTGAGGAGAGTGCACTTAGGCGAGGAGGAGCCTCACTTAGGTGAGATTTTAAAGATGCGAAGTGGTAACACCATTAATGATTGTTGCTGACATTCATTTCTGTGCAATTTCTCAAATCCTTACCTATTTCAGGCAGATTCTTGAATATGTGAATTGGGATCAGGCATATAAATAGGCTAGTTTAGCTGTGACTTAAGAACTATTGCTTGGGGCTGTGTCCACATATGAAGGCATTTCCAACCTGAGCTATTCCTACTCTCATTACCCAACTCAAAAAAAAAAAAAAAAGAAAAGAAAAGAAAAAAAAAGGTTGGGGCCGGGGAATGCAGATCTTACCAATGAAGTGGTTAGGGCTCTTTTCTTTTCTTGCTGGTATCCCTGATTTCCAAAGGCACGTTTTCTTTCTATTACTTCAGAGAAATTACCAGAAAATTCCTCGAGACTGAATGTGTTGATAGACCAGTTTCTCCAGTTGGCCTGAGTTAGTGAGGATTCTTTCCTTCTTAAGATGAAAGGAGTTTGCTTTTACATGTTCTGAGTAGACCAGTTGAGAAGTCTCACTCATCACTGAAACTAGTTGGAATACCTCCAGAGGCTGGGATTGTGACCTTGAGTGTGGAAATGGTGTCACTTACCCGTTCATTCACTTTGTCATTCTGTGTGACTTGGGTCCCCTGGTTGTAAACGACAAAAAGTCAACTTGAATCTGTTTAACTGAAATGGGGAATGCATCCTAAGGACATTGGGCTGGTTCCCAGAATCCACACATAGGAATGAGGCTCCAGGGGCAACTAAAATTAGAGTTCCAAAATTTCTGGGACCCTCTTCTCCAACCGACATCTGCTTTCGTCCTTCTCCTTCCACAGGCAGGTTTCTGCGGCTCCTCCACCAGCTCCTGGGCTGTTATTACATCTTGCAGCCCAGACGCACGAAGACATACAAGCTTCTGTTTCTCAGTCATAGTTCCAAAATGCCTAGAAGAGAAGATCTCTTGGTCTGGTTTGGGTCAAAGCTGGGTCGTGCACCTACCACCTGAAAACGTGGCCACATTGAGTCGCATACTTACCCCGACCAACCAACCAGATGGGGCGGGGACAGGGAGGCCGCACTGTACTCATACGACCACCTTGTAAATTCAGAAAACAGGGTGCTAATCAAGCAAAACAAAAGGCATTCACTACCTTTCTTTTTTTCTATAATATCCTTCTGCAAAAGTAAACGGGAATCATGTAGGTGCTATTTTGCCAAAAAACAAGTCCTGAGCACCTAACTTACCTTGTGTCTAACTGCGTCTTGGCAATCCTTTCATTCGCATTGTACTCTCTATGACATCACTTAAGGGCCCTTTTTTCTATAGTTTTCAGCCCTTGCTCATGCCTACCTCTTTTTCATTCTTCCTGGCCAGTCCAGCTGCTTAGTCTACTGAGATCAAGACTGTACATCATGTCTCATCCAACTCCTCTGCTACTAAAACAAAGCCCCTTTTCATACATCTCTACTGTTCAATTTTTTCCTTTCCCCCTTTTCCTTCACATGACTTTTCTTCTTCCAGTTTCAGAGAAAATACTCACTCTTGTCAGCACTCAGAGGCGATCGAGATCTGTGAGAGATGCAGGCTAAAGGGGGTAGGTGCCAGAATAGCAATCTACCAATTTCCATGAGTAATCTCCGCCACAAAGAACAGAAATACTTAAAAGTGATTGAGTGCTGCATTCTCTTTCTTTAGTCAAGCCACATGTAAAGCCAAATTGTAATTTGAAACCATATTTAGTTTATTCTAAGAAATCCCTATCTAACTCTAAAGATCTCTGAACTCCCAGGGATTCAAAAAATGTCTTTTCATTTATTTTTTCCACCTGCAAATACTACAGTATGCATTTCTAATATATAAGAACTTTAAAAAGTAACTTTATTGCCATTAGTTCATCTAACAGAATTAAGAATTACTTGATGTCATTGAATACTCTGCTCACTTATTTCTCCATTTGTCCCAAAAAAGACCTTTTTACAATCTGTCCAATCAGAATCATAATGAGACCATATACTGTATTGCATTTGGCCGCCAAATTCTTTTCATGCCTTGCAATCTTCTGCCCCATTATGCCATTGATTTGTTGAAGAAACTTTTTTTTTTTTTTTTAATAATCTCCCATATTCTGGATTTGGCTGATTGCTTCTAGGTGGTATGAAGTCTTTAAATTGTTTTTTTTATCCCCTATATTTCTAGCAGGCTTGATTATTATTTATTATTATTATTTTTTAGTTTAGAATCCTTCATAGGCCAGTAAACATATTTCCTAACCAGCAAAGACTTGATTGGAACTTGCAATCTTTTTTTGTTGTTCCTATATTTAAAATGGTAAACTCACTGAAATTTGGGTATCCTACATGGCAATCACAACTCACTTTTATTAAGTGCTTTCCACGGGCCAGGCGCCATGCCCGTAAGCCCCTAAACTATAAGCTCGTTCAATCTTATAACCGTCATGCAGACGAGGAAACGAGAGCTTGGAGAGTTTCATTAAATTAACCCAGTCAGTAAGTGATGGTATGAGTTCAGCGGTGGGATTGGAAATCCCAGGTTCCTAACAAGTCCTGCTCTGAACAATTCCATTCCTCAATCTCCATCTTTCCCGGTTCTCTCAGAAACCCGCAGGTATCAACGACTGGGAAGTGATCCTCCCTTGATCCTCCCTTGATCCTCCCCCGCCCCTCCTCTGCCCTCCCCTCACTTCCCTGCCCTCCCCCTGCCCTCCCCCTCCCCTGCCCTCCCCTCCCCCTCCCGCCCCTCCCCCTCCCCGCCCCGCCCCGCCCCTCCCCCTCCCCTCCCCGCCCCTCCCCCTCCCCTCCCCGCCCCACCCCGCCCCGCCCCGCCGGTTCCCGGGCCAGCCGGTTTGAGGACCCGGAAAAACACACTTCCCAGAGTGCACCGCGACCACGAAGGTCGCACTACTGTCGTCCGTTCGCCGGCGCCATTTATGTAGAGGGGAAGGGAGGTGCGGCCTGTGATCATGGCGCTGTTCCCGGCCTTTGCGGGTGTTAGTGAGGCTCCCGATAGCGGGAGCTCCAGGAAAGGTAAGCACACAAAAGGGATGAAGAAGGCACTCGGCGGGCTCAAGGCGCAGTTTCTCGGCCCCAGGTGTCGGCCCTCGCTTTGGATGTTTATCCAATTGTGTCCCAGAGTTCTCCGCGGCGCTGCAAAGGCTTCTGGGAAGGGCCCCTGTCCTCACCCCAGCTTTTTTGGAGTTGTATTACGGAGTGACGAAGACCTAGGAGATCCCCCAAAGCATTTTTTCTATGAGCCTCAGCTACTTCACCTCAAGTAGACTCCTGGCGCAAACGCTGGGTGTTCTTCTGGGTGCAAACGCAAATGCCCTCCTTCCTGTTTTACTTATTTCTGAATGTTTATTGGGTTCAAATCTTTAGGCAGGCCTAGAGTTAGGGGAATTAAGGACCCAAGCCCGTTCAGTTTCTCTCCGTAGAGGCACAGCTGCTGGGAATGAGAACTAACATTTATTTATTGAGACCCTACCGTGTGTCAGGTGATGGCATGACATATTTTACTTAAGCCTTCAAAGTCCCCGGGTTTGTATTAAACGTTAAGGGACAGATAGGCATACCTCATAGATGTTGAGGGTTTGGTTCCAGACCACCGCAGTTAGGGGACTTGTAGTCTTGTTGCTGGTGGGGGGTCTTGCGTTTGTAAAAAACTCAGTACCTGTGAAGCACAATAAAGCAAAGCTCAATCAGAGGAGGTATACCTGTAGTGAATTGCAATTTAAGGTGATTCTAAGTCATGCACTTATGTGGCAGAGCCCAGTTGTGTCCGAGACCTCCCTTACATCCTCTCAGGTAGCTCCACCTATTTTTTGTAGCAGTTACCATAATTGTAATGAATTTCTTACACAGTGTAATTTTGGTCATCCTTTAGTAACTGTATTCTCCATGTGGTCAAGGACAGTGTCTAGTCACCGTAGCATGCTTAGCCCCTTGCAGGGGCCCAGAATGCAGGTATTTGATAAATATTTGCTGAACGTGCAGACCAATAGTAGGTACTTAACACAGAAATAACAGGACAAAGGAGGATGTTAGAGATGTCGTCGGTGAACTACGGGCATAATGACTTCCATGGGCGGTTCGCATACGGCAGGGGTGCCCCACCTTTTGGCTTCTCTGGGCCACCCTGGAAGAAGAAGAGTTGTCTTGGGCTCCACATTAAGTACATTGTGACATGTATTCACACACAAAAAAATCTCATCATGTTTTAAGTAGATTTATGGTTTTGTGTTGGGCCGAGTTCACAGCCATCCTGGGCTGCAGGTTGTACACCCCTGGAAGGCTTTCTACGGGAACTCCCCTTAGGGATGGGTCTTCGACAGCGTAGGAGCTGGATAGGCAGAGATAGTGGCAGGGCCTTCAGAGGCGTGCAGGAAGGGAAGGAGACCAGGGTAGAGAACTGCGGAGAATCCAGTGTGTCTGGACGTCAAGAGGCCTGAAGAGGAGCCTTGGGAAATACGGCTGGGACTGGTGGTTAGGGAGGCTGGTGACTCGAACACCAGGCCAAGGCTTTATCCTTCTATTTTGGAAGGGTGACGTGGCAGATTTGTAAGAGAGAGTTGCTCTTGTCATGTATCGTAACCAGGATTTATTGGACACCTGGGTACCCAGGATCAGGGTAGAGTTTGTAAAAGTGCTGTTTGTGAAGTGCTGTATTTTAAAAAATTTAAACACAACATTATTACTCACAATGAAATTAACTGTAATTCTTTAATGGCATCTAATTGTCAATGTTCAGATTTCCCAACTTGTCTCAAAAATGGCCTTTTACAGTTGGTTTGTCCAAGTCAGGATCCAAAAAGATCCAACACTGTATTTCGTGGGTATGTCTCTTGGGTCTCTTTTAAATATAAAAGTGTCTTCCTCCCCTCCATTTACCCCTGTGATTTATTTGTTGTGGAAACTGGGTCATTTGTTCTATACACACTTCCTACCAAATCCTCATGGTGTCATTTAATATGCTTCTCTATCCCAGTGTTTCCTGTAAACTAGTAATTAGATCTAGAGAGCTAATAAGACTCAGGCATGATTTTTTTTTAGTTGAAAGTACCTCATTGGGAGTGTTCTGCCCTTGATATTGAATCAGATCAGGAGGACCCGCTGTCCAGTTTTCTCTCCCTTAGTGATGTTAAGATCCATCAGTTTTAGTTTTTTATAAACTACTCTCCCACCCCCGAGCTCCCTTATGGCAAAGCCTTAACTGCATCCTCAAAACCCTTTAATGTACCTTCTGAAAGATTTTGGGAGATCACATACTTTGTTTGTTTGTTTTTTTTTTGACATTTGTATTACTTTATCTTTCCTCCAAGCTGTCATCACCATCTAGAATCTTTATGTAAAACGGTACTAGAATTATTTGGGAGCATCTCTCCTTGCATATTGTTTCATCTTCCCCCACTTTTCCTTTGTTCATTCTAGAATCCAATTATTGTGGAAATAATTGTGATTTCAGAGAGCAACAGGAACTGTTTTCACATGCCTCTTGCCAGGAATTAAGCCCGAGGGAAGGGAACCAACCTCAGAAGGAAAAAAGAGACAGTAGAAGAAAGATGGTGTGAAGAGCTGTTTAACCCTTACTGGGTATGACCTTACACATTACCTAATCCCCGTGAGCCGTAGTTTCCTCTCCTGTGCAGGAGAGATCATGGTTCCTCCTGGAGAGGGTTGCTGCGAGGATTAAAAGACACAAGGATGCAGAGTGCGGAACCTGGTGCTTGGCCTATTTTTATAGTACCTGTTGTGGGCACTTTGTAAAGTAGAATCCTTCTCTTTTCCTTTTTCCTGTGCTTTTTAAACTTCTACTAATGTATGCCAGACACTGATTCCACTTCTAGGGGTGAAGCAGTGAATAAAATCAAGTACCCGTCATCAGCAACTAGCATATAGACTATATAAAGAACTCTTACAACTCAGTGATTAAAAGACAGTCCAATTAGGAAATAGGCAGAAGATTTGAATAGCTATTTCTCCTCTAGTATGAATGGCCAATAAACACCTGAAAAGTTGTTCAACCTCTGTAGTCACCAGGGAAATGGAAGTCAGAACTGCAATGAGGAAATACACCACTCCCACTCAAATGACTATAACAAAAAAGACAGACATGAACATGTTGGCAAGGATGTGGAGAAACTGGAGTCCTCACACATTGTTCATTGAGTGTAAAATGGTACAGCCAGTCTGCAAAATAGTCCAGCAGAACTGCCAGAACGCTGCCGGCACCCAGCAGTTCTGCTCCCGATGCTTACCCAAGAGAAATGAAGACGTATGTTTGTATAAAAACGAGCACATGAATGTTCATAGCAGTGTTATTCATAAGAGCCTCACAGTGGAAACTACCCAACTATCCATCAACTGATGAATGGATAAAATGTGGCATCATCCATGAAATACGATTCAGCAATAAAAAGGAATAAAGTACATGCCAAAGCACGGATGAATGCCGAAAACATCAAGTGAAAGGAGCCCGTTACAAAAGACCATATATTGTATGATCTTGTTTATGTTAAATGCCCCAAATAGGCAAATCTGTAGAGAAAAAATATTAGTGGTTGCCTAGGGCTGGGAGTCGGGGTCGGAGAGTAGGGGGCAAGTGATGGAGAGAGCCTGCTAATAGGTATAGGGGTTTTGGGGATGATGAGAATGTTCTAAAGTTATTTTGTGGTGGTATTGTACCATATTCTAAGTACTCTAACAACTTGTGAATTACACACTTTATACGGTTGAACCTTATGGTATATAAAGTATGTCCCAGTACAACTGTTAAAAAAATCTAATTACCTTTTTCTGACTCTGTAAGATTTTATTTAATTACTTTTGGAGAGAGGAGAAAGGAGGGAGAGAGAGAGAAACATCGATCAGTTGCCTCTCGTATGCCCCCAACTGGGGACCTGGCCTGCAGCTCAGGCATGTGTCCTGACTGGGAATCGAACCGGCGACCTTTCAGGCTGTCAGTCCACTAAGCCACACCAGCCAGGGCCCTTCTCTTCTAACTGTGACCATTTCATGGATTCTTTCTCCTCAGCATATGATGTGCTCTGGCCACCCATCCTAAAGCAAAACAGGACGAATTAACCCTTGCTGCCACGGTCCCATGCTCTTCTCCTTTCCTTCGTAGCTAAGACCCCCGAAAGTCAGAAAATGAGTGATTTAGAAATAGTTCATACGAGAGAGTTAGAGATTAATGGATAAGGAGCAAAAAAGTTTTTCAGACATTTAATCTCAGCAGCTGCAGATGTCATTGTTAACATCTTGTATAATTTTAGCATTCGTTAGAAAAGTTGACACCTTGTGTTTTTTTTCAAAGAGGAGTATTGTTGGTTATAAGGAATGGTTTATGTTAAGTTACCTAACTAAGGTAGAACATGGGAATATTCTTTTAAAGAAAAGTATTAATCTTCTGTAATAATTTTAAGCATGGTAGGCTCTTATGCATGGTTTGATTTTTAACTTTTTGGAATTGCCTACATCAAATTTGGGGTCATTAAAACCTGGTGCTTCGAAGCTTTCGTGCTCATTAGAGTATGGACGGACTGCCCAGAGCACTGGTGCCTTTTAGGCCACACTTGTTACGTGGCTTTTGCTTAGGCCCCAGCCTGATGCCACAGAGGACTGCAGTCTTAAGTGTGTTGGAGTGCGTGAAAGCCCCGTGCCCTGTGAAATAAAAGTTCCATGGATGCCCTTTGGCCCCTGTGGGCCGTCGTGAACGTTTGGCTGACATTGGCTGCGAGTTAGGATGCCAGCCGCTAAGATGGATTTCCTGCTTCAGAAGCCGTTTTGAGCTTACTTCATTGATCTTCTCTCTCTTTTGCACGTGCAGAATTAGACTGGCTGAGCAACCCAAGCTTTTGTGTCGGGACCGTGACGACTCTGAGTCGACAAACTGAAGAGGCCACAGTGCTTGTTTCTGAAGGGGCGCCGCGGACCAGGTAGTGTTTTTGATAGAGGGGGCTTTCCCCTTTGTCAGTGCACCGTCTGTGGCTCAGCTCGAACGGTGCTTCTCAGAAAATCCCGTGACAAATGAGCTCAGTAAACTCTTAAAGTAATGAGGTGACCTTTGCCTCTTTTCCCTTACATCACCCTTACCAATCAGTCTTTCGTCCCCTTTGCATTGCAACGGCAGCTGCGTGACACACTTACTGCCGGTAATTAGGCCGTCAGGGAAATGGCGTTGTTGTGGTTCTTAAGTAACTTTACTGGCCTCATTAGTAACCTCTAGAGTATTGATAAACATGGAATTCAGATAGTTCCAACACATTCGTAAAAATAGGAGGAGCTTGTGTAATATAATGTGGGGAAGGGAAACATTCCCCTTTCCCGCCTCTGGTTCTTTCTGGCTGGCCAAATAATAAATCAGTAGGAGACAGATTGATAAGAGGAAATCAAATTTAATATCGTGTGCATGGGAACCCCGCATATGGGAAGGATCTGGAGACCCCGCGTATGTGAGCGGTTCAGAGGGGGGAGGAGGGATGGAGGCATAGAGGCTGTCCTGAGTGAGGGGGCAGGTGAGGCCCCTTGGGGGCTTCGGAAGGCCACTGCAGGTGACTGGAGGGGCAAACAGTTCGTAAACACAAGTTTGCCCCGCCCTACAGATGTGTCAGAAGACGTTATCTGTGATCATCTCTCATGGGCGCGGCCTCTCATTCAGATTCTTCTAGGCAGTTTAGGGAGAGGGGAGAACTTTCTCTTGAGCAGAAGCTAGAATTGCCTTTAGCTCCAAGTAACCTGCGTACCCCTGAGACACACCTCGGGGTGGCTCGTTCTGGACCCCGACCTGTAACACGTGATAAAATCTCACGAAAACTTGGGGAGAAGCAGAACGGGACACACTTCCACCCAGCTCTGAAAGAACTTTGCTGTAGACCCTTGAACTGAGAAGTGTGCTCTCTCGCCGCCACTACGGACTAGATGGTCTGTTACCGTGATGAACGGGCCCCAGGAAGCCAGGGACTCTCAGAGCAGAAGGAGCCTTCGGAAGTCGGGAACAGTTAATGCGTGGGAGGGAGTGGTCTGTGGGCATTTCAGTAATGATGACGAGCTCATGTAGCCGGTAAAAGCAAGGACTGGAATTAAAGCTTTTTTTTTTTTTAAGCATTAAGAACATGCTGGTGTAATATGTAGGACTGAAAATAAACCTTTTATAATGTTGTTTTAAAAAATACTATCGTTGATAAAGTAACTGTAGATTACTTTGATTTAAAAATGTATGTATATGAAAGTCTAGGTTTAGAAGCTAAAGTCTGTGTGAGCATTTTTAGAATTTCCTTTTGTATTCTCGTGTATTTGTTTGATTACTTATTTCCATAACATTTTCCCCAATTCTAATGTGATTTTTTCAAACAGGAGTCCTCTGAAATCAGACCCTTCAGACGAAAGTGACGCGAACAAAAAGCGCAGACAAACCAGCAGAAAGAAGAAGAAAGAGAAGAAGAAGAAGAGGAAGCATCAGCACCGCGGGAAAAGCAGGGGAAGACGTGGGCAGTCGGGCAGCAGCAGTGCGTCTGAGTCGGACGCTGGCTCTGTCCGGGACAGGCCTTCCAGGGGCACCGGAGACGGCAGGAAAGCATCAGAGAAGCCGAGGTACGTTCTCCGCCCCCTGGTGCCCGTGGTGCTTTACAGTGGGTCTTCAGTCCCCCCCCCCCCCAAACTTACTGCCGCAAGTTACACACTCACGTGATTGTGTAACTCAGTCAAAACGGAGTCAGTAAGTACCTCAGTACAGCTGGGGAAAAGTGGAGCTCTGTCACTTGGTCAGCCTGAAAAAAAAGAACTTCAACAAATCGGGGCCATGATTTTGTTTGAGAAATGTTAACTGGGCACAGCAGTGAATGTGTTGAAGTCTGATTTGGACGGAAAGTCTTCGGGAGTTTCGAAAGGTGGCAGACGTGCCGCCCTTGGGTGTAGGGGCTAGTTTGCTGGGAGGGGCCCTTGGCTTCCACGCTTATAAGGAGGAGAAATGTCTTCTCTTTACAGTGAAGTGTCTTCCTTTCAGTCATTCCCATTACCAGCCCTCCCCTCCCCCACTCCCTGGGGAAGGTTAACTGTAGCCCTTACCATAGTCGTTGCTTTTGTCCTTTTCTTCCTTCACGTTTGTTTGGACGCTGTGTTGAAGGTATAAAATAGCTCGGGACCACAGTTTCTCCCTTCCTTGGGGCCTTCATTTCTCCATTTGTTGCACAGGTGTGTCTACCTTGAGCACACTGTTCAGGTCGTTCTGCAGAACGGCCACAGCGTAGGTGCTCGGTGACAGCGCCCCCTCTCTGCCTAGGCTGACACCCTCCTGCTCAGGGAGGCACTTTGCCCCGGGCTGGGACAGTCCGTATGTGGTGAGAATACTTGAACTATTCCTCACGTAACTTTTTTTCTTTGCTCATACAGTCTAGAAGAGAGAATAGTTTAGCACCTGTCCAAAGCATACTGAGAAAGTTAGTGTTATTAAGATTTTCTCGATTCTTGAGGGATGATTTGCTTTTGGGTGCTTGGATGCCCCGCTGATGGCAGGGATGCTGTGTGTGGGAGCACCTTTGGAGCTTGGCCCGGGGAGTCTCCACGAGAGAAGGCAACACCGCAGTCTCCCAGGGTCCTGCCGTTGTCTGCCCCATGTGGGAGGACACTGCCAGCCTCTGGGGGTCCAGGCTTGTTTAGCCCTCTGTGCGTCTCAGGTGCCACAGCTGTAACCCAGACTTGCTCTAGAGGAAGAATAAAGCGGCCAAGCGAAAGGTCTAAATTTAACTGAATTTATGTGGGCAGGGACCACGCCCCCTTACCGGCCATGGCATGCCCCAGCCTTGGCACAGGGCTGACGCATAGTAACACGTCCTGAATACATTTCCGTTATGTGAATGAATGAATACATGTCTGGCACAGGAATGCCCCTGTTTTTAATTACAAAATCATAAGCATATAATTCCTTAACAAAACAATATCACACTCAAGCTCTCCATGTGACATTTTCGGTGAAATGTCCCCAGAGGCTATAGCTTCCCATCCACCTTTGTGTCCTGGGATGACTTCTTCCTCACCCTCAGGGGCAGGCCCCTCCCTGTGCACAGCCCCGCCACGTGCTGCGTCCTGACCTCAGCACTCCACAGGGGCGGGAGGAGGGCCTGTTGACGCCCCGGGGGTGGTCTGCAGCTGGCCCTTCCTTTTTTTTTTCCCACCCTCAGTTGGCTTTCTGGAATGCGTCACTCTCTCTCCCGCCTTCATCGCCCCGATAGTTTTCATCGACAGAAACTCCTCCACATTTGTTCTGGAGGGGAATGTGTTAACATCACCACACATTTTTAACCTGAGATGTGGCACTCAGATAGTTACTGAATTGCTACTTGGTGTCCCTGAAATACCGTTCTCTTATATTCCCAGCCAAGAATGACTTAGAGGCTTCCAGAATCTTTATTTCTGCCTGGGCAGAAGTAAAAGGCAGCAGGAACAACAGATAATGACTGCTGTGACCCCTCGGGCAGTGTCTGTGTCAGCAGCATTGTGAAGTGATTTTCCCTGGAGGAGGGACGGTGTCCCGTACCTAGAAATCCTTCCCCCCTCTCCTGTGGCTCCGAGGGACGTGGTTCCACTTGTGTCTGAGCTGAGAGTCTGCCAACTCACAGGCTGGCTCAGAGGAGCAGACCAGGGCCTGGTCTCGCGGCGGCCTCTCTCTGCCCTTTATGCAGGAGGCCGGCACGCCCAGACTAGAAGAACGAGGCTTAGACCGGGCCCGAGTGGCATCTGAGGTTGAACTGGTCACAGCTGTGGCTTTGCTGCTGCCATTGTTGAGTTTTCAGTTGGAATCAGTACCCTGAGCACTTTTCAAACGAGGTGAAGGGAGAGCAGCCCTTTTCCTTTCTTTTGTAAATTAAAAAAAAAGCTGTACAAATATGTTTGAAATTCAGATTACAAGAATTTAAATGGAATACTTGAAAAGGAGCACCTGTGTATTCCTCAGGTTAATTTCTGAGACGACTTTGTTTTTGGTAAGGTGCCGCTTGGTGGCCATGGTCTCTGCGTTGTATTTTAAGGGTGTTTTTGGAGCAGGCGTCCTCCCCTCCGTGGGGCACGCACGCGCTGCTGTCCTCGGCTCCCTTCTTGCTGCGCGGAGTGTGAAACGCCCGACCTCCGCGTCTCGGCCCTCGTGGGCCGTGTGACCGGAAGGTCTGTACGTGCCTCTCCCTCCTCCCTCCTCCTCACCCTCTCTTGCCCCGCAGTCAGGAAACCAGTGCTGCCGCGGACCCCGGACATCGCTGCGTCTGGCTTGAGGACATCCAGGCCCTGACGGAAGACACCTTCAGAACAGACAAGAAGCCAGACCCTGCGAACTGGGAATATAAATCCCTGTACCGAGGAGACATAGCAAGGTATCCGTCCCGACACCTTCCCCGGCTTCCCGCTGCTGGGACGTGACTTCCTTCTCCTGAGCACCCTCAGCGCGGCCTCCTGCTCCTGGCCACGCCCACCCCCGTGGATTCTGTTGGGCTTTTATCCATTTCACATCCTAACGGGAAAATTTAACCCTTGAGATCAGGGTCCAGGCCGGATGAATTGTGTGTATCCGTGGTGCTTGGAAGAGTGCCTGGTGCAGTAGGTGTTCAGCAAGTACTTGCTGAATGAGCCAACCTAAGAATATCTTCCAGTGATTGTGGCAGACTATCTGAAAACCGTCTGATCTAATCTAGGTGCCATTTTAAAAAGTTGCAAAAGCCTTTTATTTGTCCGCCCCCCGCACGTGTGCCATTTGAATCATGACATTAAACGGTAATGACGTTTTCACCGCATTTTCAGCGTGCATCACCAGATAGTCAGAAGAGTAGGTGAGGGTGTTTGCTTCGGTAACGAGTGTAAGCTTTTCTCCTCTGCTCTGCCAGTCAGAGTGTTCGAACACCCCCTCAGCCCTGCCAGGCACTCACCGCTGGCGAGACCGACACTGCCGGGGGCGTGAGACCAGCAGCGCGTGGTCTCCACCCCGGACGGCTCACACCAGCGGTCAGCGGTGAGGGCTGGGAATCATGGCCCGCAGGGTCGGCGGGGGGGGGGGCCGGCAGAGCCACGTCGTTCTTTGCAGGCTAAGTCCCTTCCCAAACAACTTTCAGTTCCTCCGCTTTGCTGCAGCGTCAGACTTGAGGCAGGTTCTGCTCACGACATCTCACCACGTAAGCAGTTCCAGCTAAAAATGTCTTCATGGTGAGTTTATCTTAGTTATTTTTCATGTATCTGTATCCTCCCTAACAAACCTCATGGCTGAGAGTAAATGATGACCATATTTAACATGCATTTTATATTTAAAAATTATTTTAGTACTCTCTAAAACCTTGTTTGGTTTTCCACGCCACTACGTGATAATGCCACAGATGTGGCGGGAACCCAGGAACACTGGGGAGGCCAGCAGACGCGGGTGGGGCACAGAGTGTGTGCGGCACAGGGGGTGCGCCTCGGTCCCGAACTCTCTCTCACGGCGGCCTGCCTCCTCCTCCTGGCTCTCCGTGGGGCGGAGAGCACTCTCATGTCAGGGGTGTGGGGAAGGAACCTCAGGGAGGGTCAGTGACCTCTCAAGGCCAGGCACCGGTCAGCAGCAGAGTTGAGATTTGAACCTGTGTTCCTCTGCCTTCTCCTGTTCTTCCGCCGTCCACAGACGAGGCAGGTTATATGGCTGGGCGTTTTCTAGACTGGGAAACCGAGGACTGGCTCTCATTCTGACTTCGCCATTTACCAGTAACATAATCCAAGGCAAGTCACGTAAAAGCCGTCTGAACCCCTGTTTCTTCGTGTGTAAATTGGGGATTGTAACTCTGGCTGTGCCTGACACTCAAATGTCAGAAACATTTGACGTGGAGTTAGAAATTAGTGTGCAGATATGGAGGGTTATGATTTAGAAATAGTTGGACAAAGGAAAACATCCTGACAGTCAGTGCCTCCTGAGCCTCTGCTCGCGAGTGGCCCAGACCGCAGGAGGAGAGTGGTTAGCGACACCTCCATGCATCTGAACTGCGGAGATACCCCCGTCTGCCGGGGGCTGAGGGCGTTGGTGCGGTTTCTCGGTGACTTAGGGAAGTGCTCCGGAGGGGAGTCTTGCCTGGACTCGCAGCCGGGCAGCTGTCAGTGCCCAGGGCTGGGGAGGCGGGGCTCCCACGGCACTCGAGCTGGTCAGCAGACGGTGGGAGTGTTGTGCCAGGCACCGAGTTTCTACACCCCGAGAGGGACACGGACAGACCGAGAGCACTGAGAGGGGCGTGGGTGGACGACTCGGCCGGCCCCGGCGCGTGCGGACCGGGCCGTTGTGCCGGGAGCTGGGCCGCGCGGGCAGTGTTCCGTGTGGCGGGAAGGCACGGCCAGGGCGGAGTGCCGGGAGGTCCGGCGTGGCCTGGTGCAGAAGCAGGGCCGACAGTGCGGGCGTCCCAGCAGCGGTGCGGCTGGGCTGGATGCCGTGGAAAACAGAGCGTGGGTTCTGAAGTCCCTGACGGAGAGAGTCAGAATCGCCTTTGGAAAGTTCTTCAGGACGGGTGCACTGCCAGCGAAGGTCATGGATTGCGGTGTCTTTGCCTGTCCACCCGATGGAATGCTTGGCTTACGTTTAGGAGCCAGGTTTTGTAAAACAGTAATAGTTTAAACTTACCTGCCTCTTACTGTATGGAGAAGGACTTCACGTATATGAACTTTTTTGATCATCCCAGCAAGTCTGTGACCCAGGAACCATTTATCATCCCCATTTTGCAGACGAGGAGACCGAGGCACAGATGTGTGTGTGTGTGTGTGTGTGTGTGTGTTTTAAATAACTGGATCGAGGTCGCCCAGCGAGTCATTGTTGGCGTTGGATTTGGGCCCAGGCAGTCTGTCTCTGTGAGGGGCGTGTGCGTGTTGACATCGCTGTCACTGAGGGGGAGGCACGTCGGTGCCCGCCCTGCCCACTGTGGGGTTGGGACAGGCTCCCTGTGGGGTCAGGACCACTGGGCCGGCTCAGGGCAGTGCTGTGTGTGTGAGTGCTGGGCTTGAATGTGACCTCTCCTGTGCCCTCTTCCTCTCTACTCTCTTTCTTCTTTGTTTTCTTTTCTTTTCCTTCCTTGATTTTTCTCTTCTCTTCCCTCCTGCCCCCCACTTCCTTCCTTCTTTTCTTTTTTTTTTTTTTTTGGTGGCCAAGTGCCTATAGCTGAATTTATTTAAATTAAATATCCATGTGATGTCATTTATTCAACCTCCAGAGTGGGGGTTCCTCCCTCTGGCATCATTCAAGTGAAGATTAGCTGATTATACTGGACAAGGATTTTACAGAAGTGCCTCCATTTTGGGGAATATTGAATTAAATTTTACCTTAGGTCCTGTCCAGTTCCTGAGACTCTATGATAAATGATGAACTGGCCACGATCTACGTGTCCAACAGCAACAGGGAAGTTGTCAAATACGTTGTGGCACACCACTCCAGTGGACCAGTTCGAAGCCAATGAATATTACATTTTTGAAGACTAATGGTGTGGGGAAATGCCTAAGTATAGGGAGGAGAGCCTGAAGCTGTGTATCAGCTGTTTTAATATAGAACGTGTGTATATTTGTATAAATCTATACATACACATTATCTCCGAAGGTAGATAATAATATGGATCAGTAATATTCTTTCTTCTCCTTTATCATTTTCATCTAATTTGTTATGGAATGAAGCTGTTAAAATCAGTTCTACAAAATGCAGTTTTAAATTCAGAAAACTCAGTAAATATTTTTTTAGAGATTATATGAATATCTAAAATACCGTTCATTTTTAGTGAAAATAAAATAGTAATTAAGGAGAGCAAAACTAGTTTTCTTACTTAAAATTGGCTCCGCAGGGAACGGGAGGCGTATTTGGAGCTGTTGCAGCACCAGTGTGTCTCCTCCCCTCGGTTACCCTGTGTCTGACGCATCAACGGCCTGGAGGAGAGGGTGGAGAGAGAGGGTGTGAGGGACAGCTCGTGGGTGCGTGGGACCCTGTCCCCCGAGGTGGAGCCCACTGCATGCACAGGGGCGGAGGGGCGGAGGGGAGGCACAGCGGGCAGAGAGCTTCCCAGGTGCCTGTCCTGTCGGAGGTGGGGAAGCAGAGGAGGTGTGGGCTCATTCCCGGGGTGGGGGTGGGTGGGCCGCTGGGGGTGGAGGCAGAGTTCCCTGGGAGTGGCTGAAGGAGGCAGCAGGTCTCTGCCTCCCTTTCCTCCCCACGGCACTTTATGACGAGAATTTTAAGAAACGCAGCCTAAGCTGAGAGACTTTCACAGGGAGCACTGATGCGCCACCCCCTGCATTCTGCCATTTTACTGTACTTGCCTTATCATGCGTCTGTTCGTTCATCGACCTTTATTTTTAAAAATTTTTATTTATTGATTTTAGAGAGAGAGAGAGGCGGGGGGGGGAGAGAGAAACATTGATTTGTTGTTCCACCTATGTATGCATTTGCTGGTTGATTCTTGTGCGTGCCCTGACCAGGGATCAAACCAGCAACCTTGGTGTATGGGGCAATGCTCTAACCAACTGAGCTACCCGGCCAGGGAAACCCATCTTACTTTTTTATGTATTTCAGAGTAAATTGCTGACATCAATAAACTACCCCCTAAATACTTTAACATGGATATCATTAACTAGAGTGCAAGATTCGTTTCATTTTTTCTTTTGATTTAAAATTTACATATATTGTAGTATGCAAATCTTTGTTCGCTGAGTTTTGACAGGCATACACCCGGGTAACCCCGACTTCTGTGAAAATGTTGGACCCCGAAATGTGACCCCGAAAGTTTCCTCCTCCTTTCCTGCCAGCCCACACCCCACCTTTCCCACTGTCCGTCGGTTTTGTCTGTTCTGGAACGTCGCAGAGACAGGATCACACAGTGGGGACGCTCTGTGTCTGGCTCCCTGCACTCAGCGCGACGCGTCCGAGCTTCCTCCGTGCCGCGGTGCTCGCGCTGCCTGTTTCCCACCCTCTGCCGGCGGGTGGGCGCCCGGGCCCTGTCCGGTTGGTCGTGCTGGGCTGTGCGGAGCGCAGCCACGGAGAACCTTTGTGCCGGGTCTGCGTGTGGGCACCTGGTTCCCTTTTTCCTGGGTGCATACCTAAGGCTTAGAATTGCTGGGCCACAGGAATTCTATGGGCCACAGGCTAGGTCTGCGTTTAGTTATAATTTCTTTTTAAAGTTTTATTTATTTATTTTAGAGACTGGGGAAGGGAGGGAGCAAGGGAGGGAGAGAAGCAGTGATGCGCGGGAGAGCATGGGTCAGTTGCCTCTCACACGCTGCCAACCGGAGCCCCCGACCGGAGAGCGGAGACCCGGCCTGCGGCCCAGACACGTGCCCCGACCTGGAGTCAGACCAGCGGCCTTTCACTCTGCGGGGCAAACCCAAACCCCTGAGCCACACCGGCCGAGAATAAGTTTATTTTTAAAAGAAACTGCCAGACCTTTCCCCAAAGTGACTGTGCCAGTTTATCTTCCCGTCGGCAGCAGATGGGAGTCCCGGTGACGCCACAGATCGCTCACCAACATGTGGCGGCGTCGGCCTTTTAATTCTGGCTGTTTGGGTGGGTGTGTGGTGTCTCTTTGTGGCTTTAATTCGCATTTCCTTGATGACTGATGATGTTGGACACTTCTTCCTGTGTTTGTTGGCCATTCATGTCTTCTTTTGTGAGTTCTGCTCAGATCTTCTGCCCAGTTTTAAATTGGGTTGTTTATATAACATACATACGGAAGAGAGCACAGTTTTCCCGAGCTTTTGTGCAGATACCCAGCAGTCATGTGTTTGTAGCTCCGGGGACGCCTACACGTTCCATAAAAGCATCTAGAACCCAGCCTCTTTCCCCTGGAGCAGAAAATAGCCGGATGTAATTTTGTTTGACACACTTTGTTTCAGGATTAAAAAAAGAACCTCAGACCTACATGTTATCTCTGTTGTAAGTGGGGACACAGGACAGTGCCGGGGACACGGCCGACCCGGTGTCGCCCGCGGCCTCGGCGCCCTGCTTCAGGCGCAGCGTGAAGGGGGACGGTGACATCCGCCTTGCCCGTCACGTGCGATTGTGATGGTCAGATGACGTCACGCAGGTGACAGTACTTGAACTCTGAAGCGCCAGGAAAATATAAATCACCAAGATCTAGACGCCAGGCATGACCTTAAATTCATGAGGGGCTAACGAGGCCTGTAAGTGTTAGAAGAGTAAGTCAAAGGGGCAGAAAGAGTTAGCTGCCAATCCTCACGTTTCTCTGAACAGAAACAGTTTGAAGGCGCGGCGAATTCGAAGACATGCCGTTACCTTGTGCGACGAGCCTTTGAGTCTGATGAGCTTTCCCTCGTTCGGAGCCAGTGTGCAGATTCCCTCAGTGGTTTTTTTCTCTTCCCCAAACCCCAGGTACAAGAGGAAAGGAGACTCCTGCCTGGGCATCAACCCGAAGAAGCAGCGCATATCCTGGGAGGGGGCCCCCGCGGCCAAGAAGCACGCACACAGGCGTGTCGAGCGCTACTTCACGAGGAAGAGCGTGGCGCTGCTGAACGCCGACGGAGTTGCCGTCAGCAGCCAGAGCCAGCCTCTCGCGTCCGAGCCAGCGCCCTTCATCCCGGTGCAGGGCTCGGACGACGTGGCCCCTCCCGTGGCAACCTGGCTGAACCCTCTGGGGATTTACGATCAGTCCACCACGCAGTGGCTGCAAGGACAGGGTCCCTCAGAGCAGGAGTCAAAGCAGCCAGGCGTAGAGCCAGACCGCGAGGACGCGCTTCTCAAGGCCAAGGTGGAGGAGTTTAACAGGAGGGTGCGGGAGAATCCTCGGGACGTTCAGCTGTGGATGGCATTCGTTGCTTTTCAGGTAAGTGTCCCTGTCGCACTTCTCTCACTTAGCGTGGCAGTCCTCACTGTGGGCGAAGCGATACACTGTGCTGGTCTTTTCGCGCTCCTCCCTGCGAGGAACCCAGGCACTGGGCACGTAGAAGTTACTAGAGCATAGCCCCTGCCCTGGGCTTCCCCAGAGTGCTGGGAGGACTGACGTGTGAGGAGCGTGTGCGGTCCGGGGTGGTAGAGGCTTTAGTGCATAATCTGGGCATGGACGGGGGTGACTTGCCGTAGAGAGTAGCAGGGGAGGGCTTCCGGGCGAAGGGGACAGTTGGGCGGAATCTGGAAAGGAGAGCAGGTGGTCCCTGTGCAGGGGGAGGCATTCGGGGTGCAGCCCCAGCACTCGGAGTGCATGGGGCAGTGGGGGGGGTGGGCACTGCTCGCCGAGTTTCCTAGTTACAGCTGTGAGCTCCCTTTCCAAGATGTATGCATTCCCCGAGTTCCACTTAGTGTTTTGAGCCACTCACACAACTATATAAATGTGCCCACATTTGACTGTTTTAATGGTAAAGTTGACTCTGCAGGAAAGTGTTTGGAGGCGTTGCATGCTAGTTGTTGATCCATAAGTCTAAGTGCTAAATGACAGAGAGCGGACAGGCAGGTAAACACAAGGTCCAGTTTGCTCAGTGACGCAGGCACTCGAGGAACTGAGTTTCCGTTAGAAGAAACTGAGACAAACAAGACCTTCACGAAAGTCTGAAAGCAGTTCATTTGGAGAGGCGAGATGCCCTTCGGGGCCTGTCGGTACTTGATGGGGCAGAATCAGAGGATGCCCCGTTCCCTTTGCATTTCTCAGTGGCTCTCTTTCTCGTTGAGGACGAGGTCATGAAGAGCCCTGGCCTGTATGCCCTGGAGGAAGGGGGGCAGGAGAAGCGGAAGAGGTCCCTGAAGCTCATTCTGGAGAAGAAGCTGGCCATTCTGGAGCGAGCCATCGAGAGCAACCAGAGCAGCGTGGACCTGAAGCTGGCCAAGCTGAAGCTCTGCGCCGAGTTCTGGGAGCCCCCCACGCTGGTCAAGGAGTGGCAGAAGCTGATCTTTCTGCACCCCAACAACACCGCCCTTTGGCAGAGATACCTTCTGTTCTGCCAGAGCCAGTTCAGCACCTTTTCGGTCTCAAAAATTCACAGTCTGTATGGAAAATGCCTGAGCACTTTGTCGGCCGTCAAGGACGGCAGCATCTTGTCTCACCCGGAGCTGCCTGGCACCGAGGAGGCCATGTTTGGTAAGGAGACGGCGACCAGATCCATGTATGTGGGAGGAAATTCACATTTTTGTTTTTAAGATTTTATCTATTCTTAGAGGGGAAGGGAGGGAGAAAGAGAGGGAGAGAAACATCAATGTGTGGTTACCTCTCACGCGCCCCCTAATGGGGACTCAACCCAGGCATGTGCCCTGGCTGGGAATCAGACCAGCAACCTTTGGATTCGCTGGCCGGTGCTCAGTCCACTGAGCCACACCAGCCAGAGCAGGAATTATACTTTTGACTGTAGCTGAAAATGAACATTTATTTTGGCTTATTTTAGAAAACTCTTAAGTTGATAAACCTGATCAACAAGTTGATAAAATGGGTTAATCAAGAAAAAAGCTATTGCGACTCCTCTTGGCCATAGCAGATCCTCCGGCTCCAGACCCCTCAGGGGTGCTGGCGGGGGCACTGGGGGCCTCGAGTGGGGGCGGTACCACTGCCGAGAAGTGCCCGCTTGTCTCCTCGCTGACCAGGGCGGCACAGTCGGCTCTGGACCTCGGGCTGCCGATGGCCTTGTCCATGGCGATGCCTGTGCTGCTGCCCTTGTCCACTTCTCGGGGTTCAGGCAGTGATGCTCGTGGGGCGCCCTGACTGACTAGAAATGGCTGCGTAGACATGTCGGCCGTCGACACTGTACTGTTAGCATTTCTGGTGCGTCCCGGAGGAGCCTAGAGCGCTGACTCTGTGCAGTCGTGAGATACCGGAGGCAGCACGTGGTGCAGGAGCTGGAGAGCACCACCCTGGGCTTGAACCCCGGGCTCGCCCTCCTTGGTTTTGGCACACCCTTGGGCGGTTCCGTCTCTCGTGTGAGCCCCAGTTCCTCCCTCGATGCCCGCAGTGCGACACCGTGTCACAGCGCTTCGCGCACGTCGCCTGAGGGGATGCAAGGCGGCCGAGCTCAGCGTCGGCGGGCCTTTGGTGGAAGCCCTGCCGTCACAGCGAACTTCTAGAGATGAGAACACCTTGCTCTGGAAGTAACGCGAGTTCTCCCCCCACCCCCCCGACATAAAGAGCCTTGTATTTGGTGTCATGTGAGATACATGACAGCTCCGTGTTATTTCTGGGGCACACGGCACGAAGCTGTTCGTTCTGTGGCGGCTGGAGCTGTTCCACAGTTCAGGCAAACTGGGGTTTCCAAATACGGAACCCGCACGGGCGTACGGCCAGCTCTGAGCACAGGATGGAGGTGGCTGGCGAACAGCGCCGTCTAGTGGTCAACAGAATACCGATCTTGGCTTTCTGATTTAAAAAAATCTGCCGGCGCCGTCCTTTTCCTAGAATTTTTCTTGTGATGATACAAGAAAGCCTTGAGTTTTTGGTGATGAATATTTAGACCAACCTCTTGCCTTATGTTTATGTATGTATAGTTTTTAAGTTTTTATTGTTCCTATTTGTGTTCTGTGATGGTTTCATATAAAACTTAGGTTAAGTGCACTGTGACCACAGTGCTGTTGTGGGTCCTCGTAAACCAGGCCGTGTGGGAGTTACAGCTGTGAAGGTGGGACAGTAGCTCACTTCAGGGAGGTGTTCTGTTCTGCTGCGTCTTCGCAGTGCCGTCCTTCCCCGCCGGGCACTAACCCGAGTCCCCGTGTCTGCCTGCCTCCAGCGCTCTTCCTGCAGCAGTGCCACTTCCTGCGCCAGGCCGGCCACGCCGAGAAGGCCGTCTCTCTGTTCCAGGCCATGGTCGACTTCACCTTCTTCAAGCCCGACAGCGTGAAAGGCCTGCCCACCAAAGGACAGGTGCGGCTCTGCTCTCCTCCCCTTGCCGTCCCTCCTCCGCCTCCCCTCCCCCTCCTCTCCCCCTCCTCCTCTTCCTCCCCCCATCCTTCTCCCCCTCCTCCTCCTCCCCCTCCCCTCCCCCCTCCTCCCTTCCTCTCCCCCCTCCCTGCTTCTCTCTCTTTTGTGGGGAGGTAAGGCTCATGGGAGGTGGTGGTAGTGTTTTTAAAACAGCATGTTTTCCTTTGTATCAGACCTGCTGAGGGCTGTTTCTCAGAAGGATTCTAGCAATGCAAGGAAAACCCCACAACGAAAGGAGTGAAACGTGGGGAGGTGAAAGAAGACCCTCCCCGCAAACAGAGAGACTCACTCACGCCCCCTCTTCTCCTTCCTTATGGCCCTTGTTAAAATGCCGGCTATGCCCACTGGTCAGGGAAACCCTGGCCACGCCTTTTAACCCCTGTGGTACCCTGCCCCCCTTCCTAATGTGGGTCTTGTGCCACTCCCCCATGAACCCTCCTGCTGCCTCGGGGCTCTGCTGGGGGGCAGATGGAACTCCACGCTGGCACTTTGTCCACACCGGCCCTGACGGGGGGTGGGGCCAACCATTCCCATGACAAGTGAACATTGCCAATACTTGGGATGTGAAGCAGTGGAGATAAACCTTCCCATAGAGCTGTTCACATAAGAAAGCCTTCTTTACCCTTTTCCCACCTAACAAAACTCCATTTCCTGTCCTGCACAGAGGGTCTGGTGGGAGATGGACAGGATGTCTGAATTCATGGAGATCTTTTGAAGGCCGTCTTGAGAGGCTAAGGTCTCCATATTGTATAATTTTTGTGCACTGCCTGTTATGACTTTATCATCATTTTTATTTTTTCCCAGACAAAATTGTGTTAAAGACTATCAGTGTAGCTGATGATTAGTGTGACAAGCCAGATAGCAGTTATTTTAAGACATATTTTACTACCTTAAGAGTACACTGTGCTACAGAAGTGACCCTCAGCCAGCTCTGCAGAGCACGCGGTGTGTGGTTGGGGGTCTGGGTCAGGGTCAGGGTCAATGTGAATGTGCTCGGCTCTGCTGACGTTCGTTGTCTGTGATGAGAGCAGTTGCTCTCGGAGGCGGGCGGAGGGCACGGCCCAGGACTGGGGAGCATGGAGAACCACGCCTCTGACAGGTCAGGAGGGCTGATCCCCGTTCTTGAGGTTTGAAATACTAGCAGCACATGCAATTGCAAAGTATTTACATGACAACTCAGAAATAGTTGTCTATTTCTAAGGACTTTTTGTATCTTCGTGACTAAGAGACGTTGTTACCACAAGCAGACAGTCTGGTATTGCTGGTCTGTGGAGTAAATTGGTTTTAACCGTATGTCACACTTTTTTAAAACACACTCACCTTTTTCTTGAGTGTGCTTTCTTCTGTCCCTCTTGGGAGAGCAAACCCCGTAAAGAGGGAGTGTGGTCTCCCCAGGCCCCCTCCCTCCCCGAGGAGGCTGCCGAGCGCTCAGCAGCCAGGGCCCAGGCCGGGATGCTGGCGCCGCCCTCCAAGCTTCTCCCAGGCGCTGTCTTGCCCCTGGCGTGCGTAGCTCTCCCCGGGGCCCGGGCTGGGTAATCCTGCGGCCCTTGCCCTTGGTGTGCCCGCCGGAAGCCTGCTCATCCTCTCGAGAGGCTGCTTACAAAAGCGCTCATTGAGCAAGTTATTGGCTCTCCTTTAAAGTCCCCATTGTTGGCTGATAACGTGATCCCTTTCCTGTTCCTTGCCCTGTTCACCTTCTGTTCCATGTGGGATTGTTTGTTGCCACGGCACGGGACCGCAGACCGCAGAGCTGGGGGCGTGCCGGTGAGCGAGGGAGGCCAGGCTCTCCCACGCAGGCCTCTTTGTTCGCGGGGTGCCGGCCGTCTGTAGTGCTGTGCCAGCAGGCACTTACAGTGTCCCTGCCAGGTGCAGGGCACCGTGCCCGGTGTCGGGGACAGTTAGCTGAGATGTGGCCGTGTCCTCAAGGCCTCAGGGTCTGTCCTGTTGAAACCTTCGGCCCCTCCCCCTGAAAAGGTCTTGACAGCCACAGGCCTTCAGGAGCGGGGGCCTGGCTGTGCCCCTGCTCCCTGTGAGGCTGGCCTGCCGGGCCTGCAGAGGGAGCCACCCTCCTCCTGCCCTTCTCCCTGACCCGGGCCAGGCTTGGTGACCCAGGCCCGGAGTGTCATCCTGTCACTCCTTGGACTTAGTCTAGGTCCAGCCCACACTCACGGGTGGGAGTCCCCCGAGGCAGGAGGAGAGGGACGGGGGCTGCCGTGGAGGCTGCCCCCCACACGAGGAATTACATTTTCCTCTTTGGGGTGTGTGTTGTGTGTGGATCAACCGCAGGGACCGATGACAGGCGAGGTTTCCGGAATGAGCCCCGCCTCTGCCGGTCAGCGCTTTGCCCGGTGACTCACGGTTTTGTGCGAGGAGGGTGACCTTTGCGTTTTAAATCCGAACAGGTAGAATTCTTCGAGCCCTTCTGGGACAGTGGAGAGCCCCGGGCCGGGGAGAAGGGCGCCCGTGGCTGGAGAGCCTGGATGCACCAGCAGGAGCGGGGCGGCTGGGTGGTCATCTCCCCAGGTAAGGCGCCTCGCGTGCCTGTGCGTTCTTCCGGGGTTTGTCTTTACGTTCTCGTGAGTTTCTGTTCGTGCACGTGAGCCCTTTATCGGCAGCTGGAGGATACCGCACAGACGTTGAAATGCTGAAGGCGCGCTGAGTGGGTGTCCCGGGAAAACAAACCGCTCCCTTCCCTTTAGGGGCCCCCTGCGGCCCAGGATGCTGTGCGTGCAGCCCAGCTCAAAACAGCATAAGGTTTTCTTGTGATTACATGTCACAGTGTGGCCCAAGACGACAACTCTTCTTCCAGTGTGGCCCAGAGACGCCACAAGGCTGGACGCCCCTGCGAGAACCTTGGAAGCAGCCCACCCCCCATTCTCAGTGCGTGATGCTTTGGGGGTTTGAGTTTTTCCCGGAAGAAACATTTTATTTTTCCTCGTATAGGCTGATCCTGAAGAACTGATCTTGTCACTAACCCTCCCACCCCATCCCCGTTTACTTTTGTCGGCAACGTCCAGATCCTTTGAAAAACAGTTGCTTTTTAAGGACTACTATAGAATAATGATTAGCCAGCATTTACCCTTTTCCATCAGCACTGCCTGAGAGAGAGATAATTCAGGCACATGGGTGCCCTCACACTTTCTAGTAGCCACATTAAACAAGCAGAAAGAAAACAGGTGAAGTTAATTTTGATAATTATTTTGTTTGATCTAGCATATCAAAACAGTATTTCAGCATCTAATCAGTATTGAACTAATGAGGTATTTTGCGCTTTTTTTTAAAGATTTTTATTTATTTATTTTTAGAGAGGGAAGGGAGGGAGGGGGAGAGGGAGAGAGAGAGAGAGAGAAACATCAGTGTGCGGTTGCTGGGGGTCATGGCCTGCAACCCAGGAATGTACCGTGGTGGGAATCGAACATGGGATACTTTGGTTCCCAGCCCGCGCTCAATCCACTGAGCTACGCCAGCCAGGGCTTGCTTTTTTTTTTTAATGAAGGCAATGGGCACTTCTTTTTTTTTTTAAGATTTTATTTATTTATTTTTTTAGAGAGGGAAGGGAGGGAGAGAGAGAGAGAGAAACATCAATGTGCGGTTGCTGGGGGTCATGGCCTGCAACCCAGGCATGTGCCCTGACTGGGACTCGAACCTGCGACACTTTGGTTCGCAGCCCGAGCTCAATCCCACGGAGCTACACCAGCCAGGGCATGAGGTATTTTGCTTTTTTTTTCACATGAACTCTTTGGAATTTGGTGTGTATTTTGCATGAGTAGCACGTCTTGAGTTCAGACCGGCCTTGCCGCCTTCCAGGGCCCCAGGGCCACAGGCTCAGGGCTGCGCGTCGGCCAGCGCAACTGTGCTAGTCTGAATTGCGGCCCTCGCCCGGTTTCATCGACAGTGCGGGGGTGGGGTGGGGGTGGGCACTCGGGAGACTGGCCCCTCACCCAGGCTCTCGCCCCAGGGCTGTCACCTTGCCAGGCCTCACTCCTTCATCCGAGACGTGGCAACTGGGGCGGCTGTGGTCCGTGTGGCCGTGCGCAGCTCTGGGCTGGTGGCACGTCTGTCACCGCTTGGCCTGGGCCCTTGCGGTGTCGGGGACCGCACTCTGGGCGGCGCTGTCCAGGGATGGCCGGGCCTCCGTGGGCTGTGAGGGAGCTCCGCCTCCAGGACCCGGAGCTGCGGTTTGGGCTCCCCGGCGGGTCCACGTGTCGGGGGCCCGCACCTGCGGGCAGAGTGGGGAGCGTGGCACTTCGGCTGCTGCGTCTGCTCGCCGCACGAAAGGCCCAGGACGAGCGGGTCTTCGTGGTAGTGCCTCTGCTGTCCCGGCGTGGCCGACTCCGCGTGGCTGTCTGTCTTCAGGGTCTTCGTGTTTGTGAGTGAGTGAGGCTCTCAGAGTGCACGGTGCTCACGTCCTGCAGGCCCCACGTTGGACCTTCCTGTGGGTGTGTGGAGTGCCCTCGGCGGCGCCCAGAGGCTGAGTCAGCACAGCATCTCTGACGAGGGCGCAGAGGTCCCACGGGCGGGCGCTCCTCGTGGGGGCGGGGTTGGCTTTCGCAGCGAGGCGACGCGGGGACCGCAGCCTTGGTGTTCAGTGTCACGTTAGGGACGTGTGATGCTGCGTGTAGCCCCTGCCGGCTTCCCAGACGTTCCCATCACAGAGCCTCCTGAATGTGCTGTGTGTCTTTGCACCGGACGTGGTGGGGGGCCTCCAGAACGCCAGGATCTGAAGGAAGTTGCCAGTTCCTTGTGTCCAGAGAACTGGTTGGTTGCCGCTTTCGTTTGTGAGTTCTCATGTCCTTCCTCACGAGGGTGGCACTTAGAGAGCTGGGGCTTATCATGGATTCCGGGTGTTTCTCGTTAACGTTGCAGCTTGTTTCTTCTCGTACCGGGTCACTTCCCGTTAGTCTGTAATTGTACGCGTGTCGGTTTCACACCACGCAGTCTTTTAAATTTCTAGTGTGATACACTCAGGGGTCTAGGTCCGACACAGGACGCACTGGAGTAACTTCTCTAACGCTAAGAATTTTTCAGCGTGATTAAAGATTACTTTAAATGTAGATTACTAGAGGAAGGTGATAATTAAACTTCAGTTTTCTTTGAGAAATTCAGAGGAGTGTTAAGATAGAACAGTGGGTTAAAAATGCTAGTACACCTATCACTTATTTAAACTCTGTGGATGTTTTGTTAGTGGTTTACTTTGAAATGCTTACAGATTGACAAGAAGTTGGAAGGAGGTACACAGGGTCCCCCCTCCTCCCCCCGAGGCAGCACCGCGGCGCAGGGTCTGGCCAGGGACGGCACTGGGGCAGCCTGCCGAGGTTGCTCCGACCTCGCGGGTCCCGCACGCCCTCCGCGGCGTCTGACGCTGCGTGGTTTTGTCCCACCCGTGGAAGGGGAGTTGCAGGTACCCGTTGGTTTTCAGCGGGCTTATTTCACTTCCAGGGTCACCCAGTGTGTGCTGGCGCCAGCGTCTCCTTCCTGTTGAAGGCTGGATAGTGGTGCACTGTCGGTGGGTGTCCCGTGGTGTGTGTCCAGTCACCGGTCGGCGACACCGGGCCGCCTCACCGCCCGGCGGCTGCGAACGTGGTGGAACGAGCGCCTGCGTTCACACCTCGGGGTGCGGACCAGAGGGGGCGCTGTGGATCACGGTGGCTCTACGCTCCTTTCTCGGAGGAGCCTCCGTGCGGGTCCCTGCCCCGGCGGTGTGTTCGCTGTCCCACCGCCAGTCGGGGGACTCCAGGTTGGGGGGGCGTCGATGGCGAGCTGGAGGTTTTGTTCTTGTCTAGACGAGGACGACGACGACCCGGAAGAGGACGACCAGGAAATCGGAGATAGGACTCTGCCCAGGTGGCAGATCTGGCTGGCGGCGGAGCGGGCCCGCGACCGGAGGCACTGGCGGCCGTGGCGCCCGGACAAGACCAAGAAGCAAACCGAGGACGACTGCGAGGACCCAGAGAGACAGGCAAGTGCGCCCTGGGAGGGGCGCCAGCCGTGCAGCCCCACCCCCACGGGGGCTCCGTGCCCAGAAGGAGGCCGCTGGGCTCTCTGGGCACCTGCCTGGCCTGGGCGATGCTGGCCTGGCTCCTGCCTGCCTGTGGGAGCGTCCCTTTCACTGGGAACCAGGGGAGAGTTTGATTGGCTGCCGGTGCGTGGGAGCGTGGAGGCGCTCGACCAGATACAGTTCCTGCTCCTGGCTTCTGGGGGGACACTCAGGGTCACCCCTGTGGTGATTGACTTCAGGCTGTTCAGTTACTCTTCACACGGAAGCTGGAGGGCTCGGGTCTGAAGGCAGAGTTGCCGTCCTGCACTCTTCAGCCGTGTCCACCTTCCCCTCCCCGCTCTCGCAGCTCCAGAAGTGGGGCAGACAGGTTTGGCTCCGGAAGACGGGAGGGGCTGGGTGTGGAGGCCGCCCGGGGACAGCGCGTGGACAGCCCGTCTCCTGGAGAAGGGACGAGCACTTGCAGCCCGTGGCACTGGGCCTTTCACTTCCATGGCTTGTCTTACTGTCGCTGTGTGACTCAGTCCCTGCTACGCTAGTGCAGCAGCTCTGGACGTTTTCATTAAAATAAGTGAAAAGGTTCTGTTTTGATGCCTGGAGTTGACCCAGTTAGTTTCACAAGATAAGGATTGTGTCGCCTGGCATGCAGTGTGGTGTGGGTATGGGCCTAGGGGGCTCACTGCCGCCAGGCTTGTCGGCTCTGCCCGGTTTGTCGTCTGTGAGCCTCCCCGCGTGCTCCGTGCCTCCAGGGTGGAGACGGCTGCCTGTGTTCCCCTGCTGAGTCACCGGTGCTGGGAGGGAGGAGGCGAGTCTGGTGGAAGCTCCCCTTCCTGCCTGAAGCTGGAGTGCTCAGGGAGGACTGGGGTCTTGCTGCAGCACCCAGGGGTTTCAGAGTCCGCCACCCTTCCAGCAGTCCATTCCCAAGGCTCAGAGTCTTGGCGGTTCCCTGGAGCGCATTTCTGGAGCAGACGGCTGCCGCGAGCAGTGTCCTGTCACTTAGCTTTTTCTCTACTCAGAGCCTGGAGAAGGTTTCTGGTTAATTGATGGTTTTGATTAGTTGACTCCCAGGTAGTCCCTCTTTGCTGGGAGCCACAAAGACCAATCAGATGAGCAGACTCTGAGACAAAGGGTAGCTTCCATGACTTACATTTTAAAGTCATTACCCGAAAGCGCTGCGAGTGCCCACAGTTAGTGTTAGGCGCTTAGAAGTGCTTTTAACACGGTCCCTTGCTCCTGTAGTTCCTTCTCACCTTGCTGCTACTTCTCTGTTTCTGGGCATATTTTTCATTTCCTGGAGCAATTTTGTGCAAAGAGAGCACAACATAATAAAGTTCTTGTCTCTATGTTAAAAAAATTTGCACTTGTAACTACAAAGCAATTGCGTGTGCTCTCAGAAGTGAGTATGATTCTGGACTTCCTGTGAGTTCTGCGGGACACTTTGAAAATTGTTGGCTTCAGCCAGCTCACCGGCCCCCTCCTTCCGAGGACCCCCAGCAGTGTGAGCGTGCTGACGGCGTCTCGGGGTTCCCCACACTCGCCCTGCAGCCCCCGGAGCTGCCTGGCCAGGCCTGGCTTTTCTGCATCTTGCAGAAAACCTAGCTCCTGTCTGTTTAAAATTGGATAATGTTGAGTCATACATTCATATAAAAATAATTATGGAGAAAATCGTGAAGGCATTTTTGTTTGTTTGCTTCAGTAAATAAATAAAATAAGCAGCTCCGAACAGGTCACGTCATCTCGTCTTCCTTGCAGGTGTTGTTTGACGATATCGGACAGTCTCTGATCCGACTCTGCAGCCAAGATCTGCGGTTCCAGCTGATCGAGGCCTTTCTGCAGTTCCTGGGCGTGCCTTCTGGCTTCACCCCTCCTGCCTCCTGCCTTTACCTGGCCATGGACGAGAACAGCATCTTCGATCACGGACTTCATGACGAAAAGCCACTGACTTTTCTCAACCTTTCATTTTCCGGCGTGAGCTGTGTCGGCCGCACGGACCGGTTGGGCTGCCGGCGCTGGACCAGAGGCCACGACCGAGAGGGCGAGGAGTTCATCCGCAACATCTTCCACCTGGTGCTGCCGCTGTTCTCCGGCGGGGAGCGGTCTCGGCTCTGCTTCTCCTGGTTACGGTACGAGATCGCAAAGGTAATAACTCCAGCTGCCTCCTGCCCGTGTGCGGACTCCCTCTCGTGTCCGTGTGCACGAACGGAGTCGCCGGCGCTTGGTGTTCTCCGGGGTCCTGGGCCACGGCACCTCCTTCCTCAGGGACCCCAGAGGCACCTGGCGTGTGGCAGCCCCTTCTGAGGAGCCACAGGCACTGAGGAGGAACACAAGCTGTTTCTTGTGTTGGCTCTTGTGTTACCAGATTCCTGTGATTACATGAACTGCTAGTGTTAAGAGCCAAGCTTAAGCAAGGGTAGAGGATTTAGGGGCTTATTAAAATAGAATAAGCTGGTACCCTGCTCTTTCTATCTGTAAGTCTGCTAGAAATTTGCCGAGGATGGACTCTTCTGCCCTCTGCTGGCCACAGGTGGAATTTAATCTTAGCACCCAGAGTTCTGACACTTGCACTCCAGATTCCTTACCCCAGGTTGTGTTATTAAAATGGTGGTGTCTGATGTAACTGGGTGGTTTTCTTCTTCGAGAACATTTAGAGTATTGAAGCCTTGTTTGTAGAGGTTTCGGATGAAAACCGGGGTTCATTTTGGGGTTCCCGTGGCCTCGGTAAAACCCTGATTTGTCTCCCGGCTCAGAGAGCCCCAGTGCTTAACCAAACACGTGACAAGGGAAGGAGGCATTGTGCGGCTTTCTCAGCTCAGCGGGGCTGCTTTCAATACACAGGGCACGTGGAGTCATTCTTTTCTTTATCTCCAGGTCGTTTGGTGTCTTCACACTAAAAACAAGAAGAGATTGAAGTCACAAGGAAAGAACTGCAAAAAACTAGCCAAGAATCTCCTGAAGGAGCCAGAAAACCGCAACAACTTTTGCCTCTGGAAGCAGTATGCACATCTGGAGTGGTTGCTGGGCAACACAGAGGACGCCAGGAAAGTGTTTGATACGGCACTGAGCATAGCAGGGAGCGGAGAGCTGAGGGACCGCGAGGTCTGTGAGCTCAGTCTGCTCTACGCCGAGCTGGAGCTGGAGCTGGAGCTGGCAGCGGACCTGAGAGGGGCCGCCACGGCCCGGGCTCTTCACATACTGACCAGGCTGGCCGAGAGCAGTCCCTATGGGCCCTACGCCGGGCAGGTCCCAGCCATTCACGTTCTGAAAGCTCGGAAGGCCTACGAACGGGCGCTGCAGGACTGTTGGGGTGAGGACGGCGTGTCCGACCCACCTGCCCCCGATTCCCTTAACCGCCTCGTCAGTGTGGTTAAGTGCTTCATGCTCTTCCAGTATTTGACTGTGGGGATCGACGCCGCTGTGCGGATATACGAGCAGGTGTTTGCAAAGCTGAAGGGCTCCGTTTCCCCGGAAGGCCCAGGCCCGGAGGCCGGCGCCGGCGCTGGGAGCGTGAGCAGTGCCCTCGAGGCCGCCACGCTGATGCACACGAGCCTGCTCCGGTTCCACATGAGAGTCAGCGTCTACCCGCTGGCGCCCCTGCGGCAGGCGCTCTCGGAGGCCCTGAAGTTGTATCCTGGCAACCAGGTGCTCTGGAGGTCGTATGTGCAGATTCAGAGCCAGTCCCACAATGCCAGTAGGACCAGAAGGTTCTTCGACGCAGTCGCCAGGAGTGCAGAACCCTTGGAGCCGTGGCTGTTTGCAATTGAAGCTGAGAAAATGAGGAAAAGGCTGGTGGAGACGGTTCAGAGGTAATCACAGATCGCCTCGTTCGCATGTCCGCAGCCTCTGGGAAGCCTCAGGAGCACGGGAGTGCACATGGGCCCGTGCCTGGCACACCCACACCCGTGTGGGTGTTCCGGGTTTGGCAGAGGGGCGCGTCGGGAGAGGAATGCAGGACCTGCGCGTAGCGCGGCTCGTGCTGGAGGCTCTGTGGCTGTCCTCCAGGGCTGTGCCTGCGGGGTCCGAGTGTTGCTTACAGTGCGTGGGTGGCGACCCTCGGGCCTTCAGGAGTCTCAGATGCCGTAGTGGAAGCATAATGCGTAGGAGCACAGGCTCTGGAGCTGGACTCTGGGCTCAACCCCAGCTCTTCCGTTTACTGGCCCTGTGACCTCGGACAAGGCACTTTACCTCTCTGACAGGCGCCCGGGAAGCAGGGGCTTGGCGTGTGACTCGCAGGCAGACTCACCGGCTTCGGAGGAGCCACACGGTGTCCTCGCTCTGCACCCCCAGCACCCGCGGACCCGAGGGACAGCCCTGCCCGACGTGCTCTGAGCCAGCTGAGACTGACGCCCGCTACCACTCACGCACGTCTGCCCCTGCGACGCTGGCGTGGCAGACTTGCCTCGGAGTCACATGAGCCTTTGTCTTGCAGGGTAGATGGCAGAGAGGTGCATGCCACAATTCCCGAGACCGGCCTGACGCACCGGATCAGAGCCCTGTTTGAGAACGCGACCCGGAGTGACCACGGCAGCCAGTGCCCCTTGCTGTGGAGGATGTATTTGAATTTTTTGGTAAGAAAATATGTAGAGTTGTTGTGCGTGTGCAGAACCCTGAGTGAGGAAGTGCGGGTGTCCAGCAGCCACTGCGCGGGCAAGCTGGCGGGGGTGGGGGCGCTTCCTGCACCCTCACACCTTTTCCGGGGTGGGTGACGGGTGACGTCAGGTCTCCTGGGACTTGGAAAGGGGCAGGGACTGGGTGGGATGACGGGGAGGGGTAGTTGCTGGGCGGCTCGGTGTCGACGTGGGTGTGTCTGAGTTGACTTCGTTGAGCTGACAACTTGGAAATGGTCTAAGAGCTTTCGTTTGAAAGAGACTTCAATTCTTGGCCATTCTGCTCATGAGTTCCCAGGCCCTGATCTGTTATTCAAAGACAAGATCTGTCTAGATCGTGGTTTTTAAATTAGGCATTTCCAAAGCAACTTTGTTTTCGCTTAAAAGGACACGGTGGCTGCATGCGGTGGGTGAGACACCATTTGGTTCTGCTCACGTGCGTGTGCAGGCTGAAGGCTCCGCCTCTGTGAGAGGCCGGGCGGTGGGAGGGGCCTCGTTGGCTGTGACACCTCGGCCACAGCCGCACTGCGTGCTTCCTTAGGAACAGCCGCCTGGGCCACTCGAGTGTCGTGTTGGCTGAAGGCTGCTCATTGTCATGTCTGAGAGACCACCAGTCAGTGTCATCCCTTCAGAAGTCAGTGGCGGTCTGCCTCACGCATAAACCTCGCGGACAGCTCCGAGTACTTCCACGGGATAAATTCTCACAAGTCAGTCAAGTATCGGAACACTCCCAGTGGACGTGGCCCAGCAGGTGTGAAGAGATGTAGAAGAGAAAGTTGGGGGCGAGGACGGGGGCGGGCCTCCCCTGCTTCTTAGACCCCTGACCTCTGACAGGCCCGGGCGCAGGGCGGGGACGCCCGGTCTCGGGCCAGCAGCTCGTCGGCACCCCCAGGACAGATGGCACGGCCGGGGCAGACGCTGGCATCAGGACGGATTACTGCGACAGTCTGTGTGTTTTGAACATTTATTCTTTAGACCCTAAAGCTCAGACTTTTTGTCTTGACTCCCTTGTGTGAAATGGGAGCCTCCAGAAGTCCACGTGCTGGCGTGGTGCTCGTGGCGCACTCGTGGCCTGTCGGTCGGAGGTGGCGGCACGGGCGGCCATCGGGGGATGGGGTTCCCGTTGAATCTCTGCTCCCGTCACTGGGCCTCCCAGTGAAGGGGAGATTAGATGCTCTCTAACATTTCCAGCGCTGATGTTCTGTGCGTCTTTCTAAGCAGATAAAAGACCTTCAGGTTGGAAAGGGGAGAGCATGAGACTTCTCCGGTTTCATTTCTCCATCTCACGTAAGCAGAGACAGACCAGGTGAGGCGCACACTTGCAGTGTTTTTACTGAGAACCTGCCCAGCCAGGTGTGGTTGGATCGTAGACAGCAAAGTGCTTGTGGACTTGGAAGAAAAGACTGGGCACGCGGGGAAGTTTGGCAGTGGAGCAAAGGTTAATCAGAGCTGTGACTTCCCCGGCAGCCCCCAAGGCATCTCGGCGAGTTCCTGAATCTTTGATAAACACGGAGAGAAAACCAAATCGGGCCGAAACGCAAGGTGTTGGCTGTGAGCGCCGGGAGGGGGAAGCAGAGAGCCGTGCGGCCTCGAGAACGGGCGAGGCCCGGGGAGGGGGTCCCCGGTGTGTGTGCTCACGCGTCCGTGCCTTCCGGCGTGCATACGTGCACGCTTCCCTGCCTGTTCACGCATGTGCAGGCACATCTGCATGTTTTTCACCCCCCAGCAAAAGCGAAGCAATTAAAACTTGCTGTCGGTCGTGGAGAGTGTGGGGGAGAAAAGGACTTGGACAGTTAAAATTTTCCACTAAGGTTGGAACTTAGTTTAAAGCCTTTTTTTTTTCCTGAGGGGGACTTTCTCCATACTCACTAACAGTTGCAGGCAAACTATTTTTGTTGTTTTGGCTAAAATTACAGTTATTTTCAAGATAATTAGAGCTCTTCAGTTTGGTCATCTGCCTACACAATAAGGAGGTAAACACAAGTGTATAAACCAGTTAGCTGATTCCATGGGCCTGATGAGAGAAGTCTTAATACATGGGAAGGGGACGGAGGCCTTCCTAACTCGGAGTCACTAGGTTTTATTTTCTCTGGTGTGATTTCTTCCCTCTTGGTTGGCTGCTGGCAGCAGGGAGAATGTATTGAAAGGCCACCACGTACAAGAGCCGGCGGGAGGGGAAGAGCCCTCTTCAGTGTCCCTTTTCAGTGGAGAGGGTCAGCCTGCCCTGAGGGGTACTCCGGTAAAGTGTTCTAGAAATGCATCGTTTGGGGAGAGTTTGATACCAGCTTTGTCACATGACTTTTTAAGAGAACTGTATAGGCTGACAGTCACTCAGACTTGTTTACGCCTGATGAAGAGAGCCACAGTCGGCACCAGCTGGGGGAACCAGCAGCCCCCCCCCGTGCGGAGGCAGCGCACAGATGAGGAGGAGCAGAAGTGCCGCGGCCCCTGATCCGCAGCCCCCGACAGCTTCTCGGAGCCGAGCACTGCGACACGCATGCTGACGTCGGGGGTGGGCGGGCGGGCAGCTCCCGCTGCACCTGCCTCGTCCCTCGCCCCAGGCCCCGCCCGGCCCCCACCCACCCGCCCGCGATGGGAGGGGGTTGCAGCCCGGCTCAGGTCTGGGCAGCTGGCTCACTCACTGCTTGTGCCGTGCACTCGTGTCGTCGGTCCTGGGTGGGGGGTCTCGTTGGCCGAGTCCTTCGTGTGGTGTGTGCGAGGCTTAGTCCTGGAGACCGTCGTTGGCGGCGCTGGAGGCTTCTGTGGGCGGGGACCGGAACCAGCAGCTCTGCCCGTTGGGCAGCTGTGACTCCAGTTCTGTGCCTGGTCCCCGTCGGTGCCCCGAGACGTCCTGGTCTGCCTGGGGAGACACGTTCTTACCCAGTCCCGACCCCAAGGGGTCCCCAGGCGCAGGGGAGTCGCCCACTGTTAGATTTTAGCCCCAACTTAGGGTTTTTCGGAGAGTGGGGGTTTGCTAAGACGACAGAACTTGGAAGGGGTGGAAGGGGGCCAGAGAGGGCCGGGGTGGAGCTCGTGAACTTCTCGTTCGGGGCCCTGCCGTACTGAGAGGGAAGAGACGCCCAGGCCGTGACTCAGGTGCGGAGTCTGAATGGAGAAGACCGGCGGGCTGGCACCGGCCTGGAACCCTCCTTCCTGCGCCGGCACGGTGTCTCCTGGCCGCCCCCCGGTCGTCGCGGAGGGCAGCCTCACCCTGGTTCCGGGGTCCTCTGCACGACACAGTGGTGGGGGGTGCACGGCAGCGCCGCCCTCCTTTCTTCGTCCGGAAACGGGGAGAAAGTCTTCAGTCTGGTCCGTGTTTAGGCGAGGACAGTGAAGTATGTTGTCGTGCGAAGGGAGGACAGCGCCCTGGCTCCCGGGGTGGGAATTCGGAGGTCCGGCCTCTGTGCGGCCAAGGCTCATGCAGGGCGTGGGGACAGCAGTCCCCCGGCCCCGAGGCCGGCTCTGTGTCAGGGGCACTTGGAGGAGGCGGGGACGGCGGAGCCTTGCCTGAAGTAGGCTGGTCAGAGGGGCTGGTCACGGCCCAGAGTGAAGGTGCTGGGGGCTGTGGGGCCGTGGGAGTTAACCTGGGGAAGGAGAAGGAAGGCTGGCCTGGGTAGGCAGAGCTCCTGAGGCATAGGCGGCGTCTGTACGTGCTGTCGCCGGGGTTTCTGGGAGGGCGGTCAGCAGCCCTCCGTGGCGCCACGCTGGGCGCCGAGCACCAGCCACCTGGCAGCGAGAGACCCGTGTCCCCTCGAAGGTTCTCCTGGGGGAGCGGGGAGGCTAGAGGACGGGCGCGTGCAGAGTCCTTGAATGGAACTCGGCTCCGTGAGCTTGCCTTGTGCCCACTGACAGCCGCAGACACCGCCCGCCGGGGCGGGGGGGCTGCCCAGGTGGGCCGAGCGCCTGGCGGACCGCCGAGGGACGCAGCCCTCCCTGGGACATGGGAGAGGCCCCCGCGGGGGTGCCGCATGCAGCTCCGGCTCCCACAGTGGGTGTCGAAGGAGGGTGGGTGTCTGTGGGTTGAGGCCCAGGATTTTTTTCACCCCCAGAGAGAATCTGCCGAGTATCTTTGCACACGGTCACACGGAGCTTCCTGACGGAGAGCTGCCCTCAGTGTACGAATTCGGCAGTCCTTAGAGTTCACTGAAAACTCTGCTAGTTTTCGGAAAACGGCAGGTGTTGGAACAGACGCTTTCTCTGTGCAGAGTTGTCACCAGCCTCAGCTCTCACACGCGCCCGCACGCGGCCCCCTTCCGGGCACTGTCAGCACTGAGAGGCGCGAGGGGCGCAGGAGGAGGGAGGGAGGCCAGTCGGCAGTGCTGACGGTCAGCTCCCTGGTCCTTTCGGTGGAGGGCGCCGACCCCCCACGGCAGTGGCCCCGGTGGTGTCACGTGGTGCGCAGACGCCCAGCGGCCACTGTGAGGACGCCCCCAGGCCGGCTGTCTGCGTCCAAGGAGCCCTGTGTGGGGCCGTGCGGGGCCGTCTCTAGCCTGAGCCTGCCTGTTTCAGTCATCTTCACCCCCCTCCCCTCAGGTGTCCTTGGGAAACAAGGAAAGGAGCAAAGGTGTCTTCTACAAGGCGCTCCAGAACTGTCCTTGGGCGAAGGTAAGTTCTAAAGATCCCGCCATCCCCAGTCCCCAAGGACCTCCCCTCCAAGGGTCGGCGCACCCAGTGTGCCTGGCCTGCACCCGTGTTGGCGCAGACGGGGCGCCCCCCGGGCCTCTCTCGTGGCACTGCGCCCTGCGGAGCCTGTGCTGACGGGCGTGTTTCTGGGGACTGGTGCTGCGGGCCGCGGGCTTCCCGGCCCTCGCCCAGAGTCCCACCCAGAGGCCGCGAGCACTGGGCCCAGTGTCCCGAGTCGGCCCTGCAGAGCCCAGGTCAGGTCTTCAGAAACCAGGCTGGAGGGGACCGCAGTGCCTGCCAGCAACCTCTGGTCCCGCTCCGCGTCGACTCCCTTCCCTGTGCCCTTGAGCGCAGCCCTCCCTGAAGGGTGCCCAGGGGCTGCCGGGCGGGTCCGGACAGCGGAGGGGCACGCGCGCTGTGGAGGGACAGCGGGGGCCAGGCTTGCCAGGACGGCAAGTGGCTGGCTGACCAGGCGGCGGCTCCCCCGGCCCTAGGTGCTGTACATGGACGCCGTGGAGTACTTCCCCGACGAGATGCAGGAGGTCCTGGACCTGATGACGGAGAAGGAGCTCCGGGTGCGCCTGCCGCTGGAGGAGCTGGAGCTCCTGCTGGAGGACTAGAGACCCCCCCACCCCGGGGGCGGGGGCCACACGTCCCAGGCCACGTCGCCTGCCCGAGGGAGCCAGGGTGAGCCCGAGGTGATGGGGACACCTGCGTGTCAGTGGATCTCGTTCAGGTCTCTTTCTGGGTCTGTGTCTGGGTGGTCGGTCTCACCTGTCGCACAGTTTTTACGTGTGCAAGTGACACAGAGCTCTCCTGTTACATATTGTATATGTGAACTTGCGTATGGATGTGCACAGACGAGAATCGGGTCGCTCGATGAACTAAACCTATTGTGCTTGGTGCGTGTCCTTTGTTCTGCTCGTCCTGTACCTGGCCAGCGCCAGCCCCCCGCAGGGAGGGGGACCCGCTCACTTGGCCCCCGTGGTGGTCCTTGCCTAGTCTTCCGGGTTTTGCAGTCCTGATAAGGCCCGGTTACTCAACGCCAGGACCTTCTCCCCCGGGGCTGGTTAGCAGGAGCAGACTCTGCCCGCCCTTTCAGACTAGAGCCCTGGGGAGTCGGTAAAACCTGGCCTGCAACGAGTGTATCTACAGTTCCGTGTTGCTCCCCGAGTCTGACTCGGCGATGCCCCCACCTGTGGACCAGCGGCCTCACCCGGGAGCCTGTCCATACACGGGCTCAGCCAGCTCTGCAGAGTCAGAGTCGGCGTTCGGGCAGGACCCCGGCCCTGGTGGGCCTGGCAGTGCGGAGCGCCCTGCCTGCAGAAACGAGCAGCCCTGAGCTGCGCTGCCGGTGCCTTCCCCCAGACCCGCCCCTGCCCGGGGGCGCACCGACAGCAGGCTGTCCTGTGCTGGGCGCCAGCACTGCTTGAGGCACAGGCCCCAGCTGGCCACGTCCTTGTTTGGATTTTTGAGGGCTGTCCAGCTTCTTGCCGGTCTTTAAAAATCACGATCTCTAGACTGGAAGAAAAATTTCTTGGCAAAACTCATCGAGAAAAGCCAGTGCCGCGGAGCAGGGTTTCGGCTAGAGGCAGACGGCTGTGAGGCTGGGGGGGAGGCAGCCCACAGGAAGCTGGCCAGCCTCGCAGACACCCGCTGCCCACTTAATGGCTTCAAGCCTGAACTGCTCGGAAGGGGAAGTGCAAGAATCGAGAGAAAAGAGGGAGAAGCTCTGGCACTTTCAGAGGATCTTAAGGGTGAGGTTTCTGAACCCAGTGGGGACAAAGGCAGGACTGATAAGAGATTGTTCACCCCTGACCTTTTGAGATTTCTTTTAGGAAATCCCCGTTTCTTACCACTACTACTTTCCTGCCCCAGGAACCCACAGACCTTCCAGAAAGGAAAGCTCCATTCCCTCCGCAGTTCACAGCTTCGTGAACGCAGCCTCTGTTGCTTAAGTGTTACCAGAGATGGCTGGTGAGCGGCTATGACCACTTGTTGCCCATCAGCTGCTGATGGACGGCACCACCCAGCTCTGGGGGCATGACGTGGGGGCAGCAGGCTTTTAAGTCTGCACTCCTGTGATCACCCAAGCCACCTACGGGTGCTGCTGAGTGAGGCCCCAGACGCAGGATGAGAAAGAGCTCGCTTTATTGGGAAGGGGGCACTGGACCACAGGCCCCGACACAGGTGCTCCGGGAGGTGCGCACAGTGTACAGGACGTGTTGCTAGGACATCAGTTGGAGTGGGTGCCCCTGGGCACCCTCCCCGGCCGCCTCCCTCCGAGGGCTTGGCACTGCCAACCATCGTCTTGAGGGTAACTGTAGTTTGCTAGAGATAGAGCCCCTCAGGGGTGCCTTCCTGTTTTTTATAGAGAACATTTTCTTTAGATTTTTTGAAGTCTTCATTCGTCACTTTCATTCTGCGTTCCCTCAAGGCCATGAGACCAGCTTCTGTACAGATTGCCTATAAGAAAGAACAGCATGTTCAGAAAGTGAAATACTTTTTAATTTTTCTTCTGACAATTCAGAGAGAGCTATTTTGTAATAAGGTATGACTCTCCAGATTTTAAATAATGTGTTAGCACCCTCATTATTTTCTCAAAGGGTCTGAGGTGGCTCCGACCAGGTGGTTAAAGAAGAGGACCGGCCGGGCAGTAGGGCCCAGGGGCCAGCCAGCCATGTGGCCTGGCAGCTCCACTTCCGGGGGCGATGTTTCTGAGAAACAGATGAAACTATGCCCAGGAATTTAGAGGTAACAGTATTATGTCCACTTCATTTACCTACAGTTATAAGAGAATATGTATTCTGGTTAAATACTGTAAGTCTCAGTATACTATTGTTTATTATATGTATCTTTTCCATAATTACTTGCCAAAAAGTAAAACAAAACAGAACCCATGCAACATGATGTGATAAATACCCAGTCCTGGCACTGAAGGATCTATTTGGTTGTGGCCATAGGCCATGTCGAATGGTTCAGCGAAAAAGAAAAACAAAGCAAATGGGTAAAATGCTAACATTTCATAAATTGAAATGATGAGTGTATAGCTGTTTACAATTGTCGCAACTTTTCTGAAGGCTTAAGAATTTTAATTTTCAAAGTAAAAAAAGTAGGTGCAAAATTAAATTGTTTTAAGAAGAGGAGACACTTATTTAGCTCAATGGACACCAAGGACACTCGGGTCAGTGCAGGTGCCGTGGGCCAGGCTCTCACCTTGATGTCGGCCCCAGAGAGGTCATCTTTCGCCATGATCAGGTCATCCAGCGTCACGTCGTCAGCCAGCGTCATCCTGCTCGTGTGGATCTGAAAGATGCGCTTCTTGGTCTTCTCGTCGGGCAGGGGGAACTCGATCTTCCGGTCAATGCGGCCTGCGGGTGCAAAGCGTTCAGGGGCAGCCCCGGCTCTGCCCGCTCAGGGAGGGGCCTGGGGCCTGGGCCGCGCGCACACAGCCTCACTGTCCTCCGGGAAGGAGGTCCAAACCTTACAAAGTGCACTCATCTCTGTAGCTGGCAAGTTTCTGTGTTTGAATTCATCTGTTTAAAAGAAATCCTCGCTCCCACCTTCAGAAATGAGTGTGAGGAGCGGTTCCTGAACGGTGTGTTTAGTGCATGAGGATGGAAGAGAGCAAACAAACTAGCTGCTGCTGCTTTGGGGCTAAATGACTATAAAAATGAAAAAACTATCGTATGAATTATTTCTTCAGGAAGAAAGTTCTTGAGGCGTAAAAGGGAGTATGTGGAAAAGAAAACATCGTGATAGATGGGAATTTAAAGAGCCACGCTGGGCAGACGATACCATGCTCTTACCTACACTCTTAAGAGGACACGGTTTTAAGTTATTCTAAATTTCAGTGCAGTGTTTGCCTTCACGTGTATCATTTTATAATCCCCCAGAGCACACTTAAGAAACCTGTGCGCGTGCACGCACGCACACACACACACACACTCTCTGACTCTCCATGATGAAACAAAAGCAAACCTGACCTGGTCTGATAAGTGCCGGATCCAGAGTTTCTATTCGGTTTGTGGCCATGATAACTTTCACGTCCCCTCGTGAGTCAAATCCATCCAACTGGTTCAACAGTTCCAGCATCGTTCGCTGAATCTCTCTCTCACCTCCGGAATTTGAGTCGTATCTTTGGAAAAGAAAAGAGAAGGAACGAAGGTGCAACTGATCTCCTGCTGAAAGGAACTGCAATCAAACACCCCAACACCCCCGTCTCAGCCCGCCTGTCCTGTCCTCCTCAACAGCCGGGTCACGCGGCTCGTCCTTTTCTCGGTGGCAGTCTCCACGCCCAGAGTTGCATCACTCCCTCTGACTCGAGTGTGGTGCCACCCAACCTGAGCTCCCCACGGGTACTACGTCCGCAGGGTCTAGATGGTGCTGGCTCAGAGCGGGGCTCCAGGAACGGTCACCGAGTGACCGACCTCCAGACGCACAGCCACCCCGCACTGGGGAGAGCAGAGCGGCGCGTCCGCAGGGAGCCCCGTCTGGTAGGGACTGCCCGGCGGCCACTCGCTGTCCGGGAGGAGCGGCACGGTTTCGCCTCTGCGGGACAACGCCGGTAAAACAAAGTCTACCTCTTAGTCCCGATGGCATCGATTTCATCGATGAACACGATGGACGGTGCGTGTTCTTCAGCAACGCGAAACAGCTCCCGGACCAGCTTGGGCCCGTCGCCTAGGTACTTCTGGATAAGTTCGGAGCCCACCACTCTCAGGAAAGTGGCCGAGGTCTGGTTTGCTACTGCTTTGGCTAGTAAGGTTTTACCTATTTCAGATGGAGAAAGACAAAGGGGCAAAAAACTTCAAGTGGTGTTTTAACTTACACACTGTCATTACCCCGTAAATGGACATTAAAAATGGGCAGATACACTCAGGCGCCTTCACATGCTGCCCTCCCAGGCCCTCCCGCCCTCCGGTGCGGGTGACCCCCAGCACAGACCCCTGTGGGTACCTGGGTTCAAATCAATCAAGTGACCTCTAGTTTACACACCAACGAGCTGCTGAGTCCTGGACACACACTCACACAGGTGAGTTTATGGCACTGTGAACCCAGTATCTATCTATCTATCTTTACCCTCATGCATTTGTGTGTCCAGTATTGTACTTAGTACCAACAGACCAGGAGCAGAAACCTCAGCTGAACAGCACGGGGCATCTTTAAACCGTGGTTCTGCACCATGGCTTTGGTGCGCAGAGACTCCAGATAATCTCAGGGACGGGCCAGCCACTGTTATGTTTTAAAGCTCCCAAGGTGATTCCCACGTGCCAAAGTTTTATTTTTTCTTATAAACTATTTTTAACAGACTCATATTACTCATATATTTGAAGGTGTTATGTTTTATAACAGACATCTAGTATGCTGGCGTATAAGAGGTGTTGGGAATCGTAAATGTTTTGCACGGAGCAGGTAGGTATTTTGGGAGGAAAGCCCACCTGTGTTTGCTGCAATCCACACGACCGTTTTCACCACATTAACCCTGTACAATCTACAATTTCAAGTTTAAGTTTCATGGTGCATTTTTTTTTTTTTTTTTGAGAGAGAGAAACACTGCTTTGTGTCCCACTCATTTATACACTCATTGGTTGTTTCTTTCATATGCCCTGACCTGGGCTTGAACCCACAACCCTGGCATATCCAAACGATGCTCTAAGCGACTGAGCAAGCCAGTCAGGGCCTCCTAGTCCATCTCTTACACAGATACATTTTTATGTAATAGGTGTTTCCAGAGAAGATGCTTACTCAAAAACCCCAAAATGCTCCTCAGAGCACCCTGCTGTAAACCGAGGACGGGTGGCACCCTCACTCAACAGGTGACTGTAACTCTAACGCTGCCGTTCAAGAGATGGGCCGAGGGCCTGGGAAGCGTCAAATGCGCAGCACACATACCTGTGCCAGGGGGGCCGTAGAGAATGACCCCCTTAGGGGGCTTTATACCCATCTCTTCGTAATATTCAGGATGCGTGAGAGGAAGTTCCACAGATTCCTACAGAAACAAACACCAAGTAAACACGGAAGGCTTGCTTGCTTACTGAAATCACCGCCAGGTCCACGGGCTGGCATCATGAGTATGCCTTACTTGCAAAAGAAATAAACAAAAACTTCACTCACTCTCCTCAGAGACGATGTGCTTGACGTCACCAGCAGCAAGGACATCTGAAGAGGACCTGTCTTGCTGGAGCGCCCCACACCCACCCCCTCTCCTTAACAGCACCCCATTTCCCGCGCCCTCTGTTAGAAGTCGGCCTTAAACAGCCTTCAAGCACTTCTTCAGCAAATGGATCTTAGAAAAGCTAAAATTCACCCTTTCCAGACTGATCTACAGACAGGAGCTGGCAAGATTCTCTGGTGGTTGTCACCACCCAGGCCACTGCCCAGCTGTTGAGAGGTCACCAGGGCAGATCTGTGACAGCTCTGCCTTCTCTACAGATGAAAGAACCTGCAAAGGACTGGCCCATGGCCACCCTGAATGGTCACGTCCCCGGGGCCAGGAGTAGGTTCCAGACCCCACCACTGTGTCAACGTGAGCCACTCCCCTCCCCCCACATGTCACTGCTGGGTCAGTGCGACGGGAACACCACGCATCCACTCGGGAACCACCAAACGTTCCCCGTGAGCAGCACTGCGCTGTAGCTGCTTCGAGAACTGCACCTCGGTCCTCACATGTCTTGGCTCTCGAACAACTCCGTTCTTGGCCAAGCTGCTCACAGAAAAAACGTCCTGGTCGTCTTAGCAGACTCCAGGCCGCGCTGACACCTGTACGATCAGTCATGTGTCTCTCGGGAGACAAAGGAGACTGGGTTTTCGAACAAATTGCTTCCCCAACAGTTTGTGGAACAAATTAAGTTTGAGAACCGAGGTTCCACTGCAACACAGAACGTACTGCTATTCTACGACCTAACTCAGGGCTCACAGACAGGAGACACCATGGCTGGCAGGCTCCGAGTTACTGGTCTGATCAGTAAAGAAAACAAAACACGCGGAAGAGCTCCAAA